TCCACTCTAAACAGAACCGTAAGACTCTGGTTTCCTCCACTCAGCTTCATGGTGTGTGTTCTGTTGGACTGATGATGTGTGTGACTCATGCTGTGTGTTGGTTCTCAGTTGAAGAAGAATGGGGGCTCAGTGACGGTGCTGGTGATAGACCCTGACAGTGAGTCTTGTAATGTCCGGAGGAAGATGCCCACCCTGCCTGTGGCGGCAGAGTGCTGCGGCCTGCCCTACACCACCAAAACCTTGCATCTGGTTAAAGACCAAAACGGATACGGCTTCCTGCTGAGACAAGAAAAGCTGGGGGGAGCGCGACGGATAGGTGAGAGATACACTGAAGGACACATGAAAACAATATAATACACACACACACTTGTAATGAAGCATGGTATACCCAAATGTTGGTACTTTTGTGAAAATGTTCTCCAAGAATTAAATGTATACGTGTGGAACTCCACTCGGTGGCAGTACTAGCAAAGAAAGCTAATTTGTGTGACTGAGCGGTTTATAGGAAATGGCAATGCAACGTGATCAAAAGCAAGTCAGCCATCTTTGAAGGATACCAGCGACTTGTTTACTTACCTGTACGGCTAGCAAAGTAGCTTATTCAACAACCTATATTTTGTAAACATAGTCGGTAGGCACTGTTGCGTTGTTCTTAACAGCCAATAAATTAAAAATAATAATAAATGAAATAAATAAAGGACTAAACATGGAAAATGTATACAATAAGGGAGACGTAGCCAACATCAGCAAGAGACGTCAAATGGGATTGGTAGCAGCCGTCTGCTGACTGTTTACTGCAAGTGTCAAAAAGAATAGCTGATAAGTTGTTTATCCTCGGTCAGTTGAGTCTTACTAATGCCAAAATGGGGACTTTGAGGAGGTAGAGTAACATACATTTTTTGGACATGTTATGCTTCTCATGCACTATGGTCAGGACAGTTTTCAGTATATGTATACTTATTGATCAAGTTACCAACTGAAGCTTTACACTCTAAAGACCATTTAATAAACCGTTATAATCAGGTGATTTAAATTCTCTCTGAACCTTTATTGATTCCTATCCTTTGCTGCTGTGACCTAGTTCACGTGCTGAGGGAGATTGATGTGGGGAGTCCAGCTGAGGGGGAAGGGATGGAGGATGGAGACCTCCTGCTGGCTGTCAATGGGAAACCTATCGAGTCTATGGAGCATGAGGACATCGTCAAAGAGGTTAGACAGAGCGGGGAGGCAGTCATCCTCACCACGATATCTATACCAGGAAGAGACTTCTACAGAGAGGTAAGCACCATGATATCAGGACAGACACTGTATCAGAACGTGTCTTCCACTGCTTTCTCTTGTTTCCCCGCAGATAGGAATTTCTCCGTTATTGTTCTATGACGAATGTTCAGTCAAGGATAACAGGCAGCGGGCTGCCTCACACTGCACGAAGAACCAAAGTGAAACCCCGCTGAAACATGGAGATGGAAGTCCAACATATCCAACAGAGTGTATCCCGGATCAGTCAGGAACTTTACCCACACAGGTATGATCTCACAGCTTATTACATCTGTGCATCTGGCAAGAATACTGTGTCTATCCCCAACAAGGGGCTATATAACTGTAGATTCACGACTGAAACGTTGTTACATTTCCATAATATTATACAACTATTGTCAAATTTGCATTGAATTTGTCTGGTTGTAGAATCATGCAACCCGGTATCACGGCAAGACGTGAAGATGTGACGATTTACCATGCTGGGACACGTGAAGATGTCACGATTTCGTCCCTTCAAACGTGACAGTTACACGGTATTGTTAACATGGCCCAGATACCAGATTAACGGAAATAATCTCAGCTAACTGACGATACAAACCATTTTTACCAAAACAAAACACAAGTCTCATAAGAAGCATCTAAATGACCCCTTAGCGAAAAATGCCAATGGAAATTGGCACAGAACTCAAGATAAAAGTACCCTTATTACTTATCGTAGCTGCACATACAAGATACCCGATTAAAGCTGAGGTTCCACAGATTATTTAGGTATATAGTATCATCACTGAGTGATCCGAACTTGCGACAGGGGAAGCAAACACAGACATCACAACACGTACCTTTACGTAGCCTCTAGGGAGATCGTCTCACCTTAGCTGTCAATCTGATCAAAAGACGTGTTCAATGGCATTAAAACGAGAAAAAACGCGGCTGAATCGTTTAATCCATAGGTTGATAAAGTTTCTGGGCAATAATTTGTCTTATTTATAATCCATAATTCCATTTTTATGTAAAAATCGCAGAGCAAAAGTTAGCTGCTAATGGTAGCCACCAGAGTGGCTGCTTCCGGTCTTGGCTATGCGGCAGTCTAACACACACACATTACCAAATAAGGACTATGTGGGAGTTCCCCTCGATTCCATTGGCTCTGACG